GCAACCCACCGGACTTGGGGGCGGTGTGCACACGTGGGGAGACATGCCACCTTAGCCCAAGACGCGTGACATTACCCCCATACCGGGTAGCCTCATGGCTTTGGCGTGGGTTCTTTAGAAATTTAGAAATGATTGTGTTGAAAAAGAGACTTGATTTAGCAAGTGAGATGAAAATAATTGCTTTTAATTGGGATCAACAGTAGATCTAATAGATGTTTCTGTCTTAAATGGAAGGATCAATATTGGTGTAAAATGCTATAAACTTTTGTAATTCTAGTCTCACTTGCGTCTTTTGAAAGAATCTCTTGATGTTAAAAAGAATATAACAATATTTCAATTTCTTACTAATTTATGAACCTAACACACTTATGACTATTTAAATGAACATTCTTATAATGAGAGTGTTCGACTTCCAAAAAATCAGAATCACATAATTACTTTGAAAACGCAACTGAAGTTAAGATAGTATTTACCTATTTTTCAAAATTTGCTTATTTTGGTTCTATAAATAATAAAAAGAATTAACATCTAATTTGCCAAAAAGTAAGTTTCCATGCACATTTAAAGACTCCAAAATGAAATCTGAAAGAAAATCTTAATCGCACACAAAAACAAGCTTTGGGTCTCACAGACTACACATTCACAATTCGTATAAAGCTTTTGAGAAAAACCAAAAATTGAGATCCAAAATGAAAGTATACTCATCAATCTTCATTGCAACCTACAAATAAAAACAAGCTAATCATATATAATTAAGCAAGAATAACTTCTACCACTAACTATTTGCACCTAAAGACTAAGAAACGTAATCGAAACATAACAACTCTTTTAAATAAATAATAAAAAGAACTAAGCACTACTAGTTAGAAACCCTTGATCCAACCCATGATCACAATCAAGATGCCAAAACAGGAGTGTTCAAAAAACTCAAGGCTTCCAGATAATGGTTGTCTCAGCAATCATTGAAGTGACAACATAAGGATCCATATTCGATGATGGCCTTCTGTCCTCAAAATAACCTTTATTTGCCTTCTCCGTTTCTCTTCCAACCCTAACTGATGCTCCACGATCCGCTACACCCTGTAATTAATTAACCAAACCCTAATTACACATTCATGAACCAACCAAAATATATTTATAAAGAAATACCCAATTGAAGTTATTGATATCTGCAGTCTCATGATTTCCGATTAGTCGGCGCTCATTGCCTTCTCCATAAGCAGCCATATGTTCCTTATGCCTCTTTTCAAGCTTTCCAATCGCCTTCCTTATCACATCAAAACCTCCATCCGATCTCATTGATTTTGTACTACAACAAACCAACATTATCCAAATATAACAACATTAATTCACGTAAATATATCTCAAAATGACTTGTATGTCACCATTTGTATGTATGTACCTGTAGTTCGTGTGAGCACCTGCTCCATTCCAATCACCATGAACAGGTTTTGGGTCAAATGAAAGAACCACTCCGGCGATTTCAGTTATCCTCTGCGTATTCGTAGATTAAAAATAATGTCTTTAATTAACACCAAACTTGATTATTTTGGATTTTTTTTTAAAGAATACATGCATATATCAATCATACCTCTAAAATGTAACGAGCCACCCACACCTGGTCGCCGGCGGAGATGCCAACCGACGGACCAACTTGAAACTCCCACTGGTGATCATAAGCACATTAAAGATCATAAGTTCACCCATTTATTACAAATACAAATGAAATTTATATATCAATCGTCTTTTTATTTTTGTATAGATCAGAATCAGATCAGATAAGATATATACCTGGCCAGGCATAACCTCTCCATTAGTGCCACTAATATTTATTCCGGCATACAAACAAGCCTTGTAATGTGCATCAACAATATCGCGCCCAAAGGCTTTATCAGCACCTGTACCACAATAATACGGTCCCTATATATATACAAAAAATAATAATAATAATAATAATAATAAAATAATTCATTCAAGATATATATATATATATATATATATATATATATATATATATATATATATATATATATATATATATATTATATATATATATTTATCATTATATATAGAATCTATATATAGTTTGACAGTTTGAAAAAGGTGATCAAGACATTACTTGAGGTCCAGGGTACCCTCCAATAGGCCACCCAATTGGCCACTTTACATCTTTTTGTAGCAATGTATACTCTTGCTCTATGCCAAACCTGTTTTCATTTATAACACTTGTATCATGCAATCTTTATAATACACAATATCTTCGGGTTTATTTCGATTTCATCAAAATAATCGTTGTTGTAAAAGTAGTTTTTTGTATTTCAAATGAAAACTATATATACATATACATATATATACCAGGGTTCTTCTGCAATGACGTCAGAATGGCTAAATATTTTTGCGGCATTATGACGTTTATTAGTTGGAATCGGGTCTCCTTGAGAGTTGTATGCGTCACACATCACCTATAAATGTATATAATACGAAATGAAATCAACTTTAGTTAATTTTCCAATCAGTAAACCAGCTAGCTAGCGTTTAATTAGAATCTATATATAAATTGTTATCAACAAGTTTGGAACATTTAAACAAACATAGATATGAACAACTTACAAGAATGTTGTTGCCTCTCCTGAATGGATCCTTATATATTGCTTGAGGACTAGAGACATGATAAAAATGTGTTACTTGAGTCGATTTAATTTAGATTATATTATTTATATATTAATTACTAGAAGTATAAGTTTTGATGAAATGGAAATTCACAAACTGTATAATGATTTCACTGTCTTCGCCAGGGGCTTGTTTGGTGCTAGATCCATCGTAGTTCCATTTTGGTAGTTCTGAAGGATCAGAAACCGGTCCAGGTAGGGTCTAATAGTAATTAAACACAATATATGGCATACAAACCTCAGAGCATGATTTATGTACGTAAGTTATTCATGCATGAAAGAAAAATTAAGAAGCTATATTTTTTACCCTAGCTTTGCTTCTTATGTCCACACCACAACCACCAATCCTGTTTGTTGATCGATCACAAGTTAATAATCAATCCAATATTAGCAAATAAATAAACTGTACAACTTTCATTTGGGCTTCTAAAAATGAGTATAAATGAATAAAAAGAAAGAGAGCATGCAGACAGATCTAACCATATGTATTCTGCAATGATCTTTTCAGTGGAACCAGAAAGATCGAGATTAACGAGATCGGAAAGAAGAGACATTTTGATGATTAAACAAAATTTTGTTCTAACTTTTTTAGTTAATTTCTTCAAAGGTTTTTTCTAGGGTTTTGTGTTCTTGAGATGGAGTTTAAAGAGAGAGAATGAGGCATTGACGGGATTCTTGTTAACAAACCACATCCTCTATTTGACTCATCATAAATTTGTGAGTTTGTTATGATCTAAAGTGAAATACTTTAATTAGTTATCACTAAATCGTACATAAAATAAATATTTTTAATTAGATGATAAATTTTTGTATGTTGATGTCGGGATTGTTAACTTAAAATATAGGTAACAGTTAAAAAGTTAGTTGGTACTATTAGCTGATAAATAAATATATATTTCATAAAAACTAATCGATAAACTAGCTTAAATATATAAAATGAATTTAAAAATATTTTTTATAATAAATTAAACATATATTTAGAAAATCTTTGAACAACTCATAAAATTAATCTGAGTAGTTTTTTAAAAAGCTAGTTTATCAGTTTTTTTTTTGTTTTGTCAAACATGATAATTATTTGTGGCACGCAAAACAGAACATAAGTTAGTTTCAAGTTATCTTTTATTAGTCAAACATGACAACTTAAAATAACTCGAAAAATAAGTTATTTGTGGTATGTCAAATACAATATTACAAATATGCACAAATTTTTTTTTTTATCAATTTGTAAGTTTAATCAATGCACTTGTTATTAAATTTTTGATGGTTTTTTAACTTTTAATAATTGTAGTTTAGAAAAAATAAGCTATCATCATTATATTTCAATTTTGGTTTATATCCATAAACTATATGTCTTTTTATGTATTTTTAGATATTTTAAAAGCTTTCAGATAATTGTGGTGAACACTCCAATACAAATAAAACCTATAACTTCTAGCTTTCAGTTATCAGTTGTTAGCTACCAGCTTCTAACTTTCAGCTTCAGCTTCAGCTACCAGCTTGCAACTTCCATCTAATTTTGAGGAACACACCCATTATGCTCAAACATGACTTGTTGGACACGCATTTTTTAGGAACTTCTATCTTTTAACAAAAACCATCTTGACTAAACACTATTATTTGAGAGAGAGAAAAAAAAATAGCTTAAAAAAATTATAGGTAGTAAACAACTTCAACGATCATTGTTGTAATAAATCTTTATATATAAAATTGTCAAAAAAATATTATGTTTGTGTCATCGAACATTTTTTATAAAGTATTGTAACTTTTTTTTTTTCAAATTGTTTATCATTAATAAAGTTGGAATAAATATAAAGTAAAAAAAACTTTAAAAAAAATAAAGATATATGTGTTTTTTAGGCTAGAAAATGGAAAATATCTTGAGATATTAGAAGACTTTGGTCACATCTGCACCAGAGGGCGTGCAGACATTTTAGGTATGCTTCTGCAATCTTAAAAAAATCAAACAGTCTGCGAAAGCTAATGGTTTTTGCAGCGCAAACAGAAGAGGCCAAGAAGATAAAAACAAACAATACCTTATTCAAGCCTTGTCCTTAAATGTTTGTTCACTCCAAGTTTTGTACTTTAAACCAAAATCTTTTTAATAAGAAATTTTTATTATCCTTGGAATTTTATTGTAGCCTATCCTACCTTCTACAATATTTATCTCTATTATTACAAGTATTACAATATTTAGGCCCTCAAGAGCAAAACAGTTTACAGTATTTTCCAGTTTGATTCAGACATATGGTCATTGATGAAAGAATGAATTACGTTTGAGTTGTGAACACGATCTAACGCCACCTATTTAAGATTCTTTTTTCAAACAAAGGATTCCAAAAAAAACATATCGTAAATCATCATCGCTTTAGCATTCAATCAACCAAACCTTCAAAACACATATCTAATGTTGAATGATGATGATCAACATCATAACTACCGTTTGTAACCCATACGAACACAATCGCTTTATTTGCAACGCTAAAGAGTACACTTTTACACAGAAAGGAAAACATGTAAATATATTTAACTTACGAAACAATTCATAAACAAGTCTTTTTCGTTAATTTATCCATGTTTTAATCATCAATTAGAAACCATGCTTTCACTTTCTTTCACAAATCCATCTCCAGTCCAATCTTTATCAGATGCCAATCCTTTCTTGATCGCCCGTCTCTCCTTAATTGCTTCTTGCTGTATTCTCACAAGTTCAGTATGCGTAGTAAAATATTGAAGTGAAGCCCTGCATAAAACATTTCAAAAAACTCATTTCTTTTATAAAATGTAATTCAAATTGACATTTTTACCCTCTAAATTCTTCTATGGTTGTAAAGTTATGAGCTCTCATGAAGTCCTTGAGCTCCTCACACAGCTTCGATACCAAATCATATCCATACATCATCACACCCGTGCAAACCTAAAGTTACAAATTAATTTTAGCAGTTTGATTTTTTTATTTGAATAAAATATAACTTGAAGTGAATTAATTATACATACTTGAACTGTATTTGCACCAAGAAGAATGAATTCAGCAGCATCTCCACCAGACTCTACACCTCCAATTCCAGAAATTGAATAGTCTCCATCTTGAAACTCTGATTTCATCATTTGTGCAATGCTCATTACTTTTGCAAGTGCAATGGGATGAACTGCCTTTGAAGAATAGCCTCCTGGAGTTGAGTATCTGTGAGTCATACAAGTGAATTAAAGATTGTTATTGGAATCAGAAAAGGAAATGGAGTTTGAAGGAATTGTAATGTGTTTGTGTGTTTGGTTGGCAGGAAATGAAATGGAATTCAATAACAAAAAAAGATTGAATAAGTTATTAATTTTCATTTGTACAGTAAATTATATTTTTGGTCCCTGAGTATAACTGTTTTTTTCAATTTTGATTCTCTTGCACTTTTCGTCCCAAAAAAAATCTTGCAATTTGGGTCCTTATTTGAGGTTTTTGTAAAGTTTATGGTCCTGTTCCAAGAAAAAGATCATTTTGGGACCAAAATCGAAAAAATCTGCTATACTCAGGGACCAAAAATGACTTATTTTACTTGGAATTCGGGACAAAAAATCTAATAAGGACCAAAAATGCAAGAGAGCCATTTGGGGCCAAAATTGCAAAAATCATCTACACTTATGGACCAAAAATGTAATTTACTCGACCTTTATGTCAATATATATGAAGGGTATTTTGGTATTTTGATAAAAAAGAAAAGAATAGAGCTGATTTCCTTCCACCCGACCGCCCTTGAGAACGGTGGAATCCATAAAACAATGAAATTTAAAGGGATCCGACTGAAATGAATTCGTCTATCTAGCAACCAAACACACCATGGAATGGAATCTCGGATTCCAATTCCATCAGATTCCAACCGAAACAATAGAAAACACTTGTCAAACTATATATACAATATGATAATACGAACCCCTCAACACAAGGCTCGGGATGTAATGTCTTCAAATTAATGCCCATCACACTCATTATTGTGTTAATTGCAGCTATACCCTCGCATCCGGATTTCAAGGCCACCCTAGCTGGCTATAACACACAAAAAAACAAAAAAACATTTCATAGACACTGATGGATTTTGACCTCCTTACTGTTAAAGCAAACACGCATACCTGAGTAATATCTGTAATATTTGGAGTCATTTTTGCCCAAACAGGAACCGTAGCTTTAGCATTGATCCATCCACATACCTCTTCCAACAAATCACAATCCTGCCCGACTGCTGCCCCCATTTTTCTTTCGGGCATGCCATGAGGACACGAGAAATTGACTTCAATAGCATCCTATAAAAATAAAAATTAATATTACATTCTAAGTAACGATGAATTTAGATTTTTTAATATTTTACAAAAACTTACAATTCCAGTTTGTTCGACTCGATCAACGAGTTCTTCCCATGCAGCTTTGTTGTATTCCTCCATGATTGATGCAATAAGTATCCTGTCTGGATACTCTTCTTTCAATTGTTTGAATTCTTTCAACATTGTTTCTAAAGGTCGATCACTTATAAGTTCAATATTTTGCCACCCAATAACTTGCCCTTTAGTTGACCCGTTCACGCCAGCTCGTAGGCGGGCGTATCTAGGGGTAACATTGATAACTTTGGCAGCATCTAGCGACACCTGAATATTGAAGGTTAAAGTTAGGAATTTGATTGAAACAAAAGTCAGTTTTTGAAATTTGAAGAGCCCAAAAGTCATTATTGCCACTTGAAGTGGATATACTGATTTATGAAGCCTGTTTGGAACTTGACTTCGTCAGTCTGTGAGAAATCAATTTGATTGCGTATTTTGGTAGAAACGTGTAAGCGTTTTGATGGATTTGTTTGGGAGAAAAGGGAAAGATTCTTAAGTTGCGTGAGAAGCTAAGAAAGGCGAGTAGTTTGACAATTTGGCAAGTGTAAAAATAATGAACTCTTTCTCCTTTTCCCTTCCCTCCCTGATCACGACTTTTATTTGTTTCTTTTCCTTTCTAATCGAGATCAGATCAGGATCGGATGATTGAGGAAAGAAAGTTAAAAAGTAATTATAGCAACTAAAACAATCGAGATCAGATCATTTGAAGTTTATTCCGGTGTTCATTTCGGAAATCAACATTATAATCAGTTTACACAGACGCAAACAACCATCCGACTTCAAATTCAAATGGAGGTGATCAGTTAAAACCAATCTATGAAAGTTCACTCTGTTTTAATGGAGTAAAGTTATTGAAGAAATTAAAAACGATCGAGCATTATGGATCAGAAGACTTACTGTTTTAGCTATGACTGCACCCCAGCCTTCATCGAAAGCTTTTTTCATGACTTTATAGTTGGTCCCTGGAGGACCCGACCCGATTACGAATGGATTGGGCATATGTAGGCCATTAACGTTGACACTCAGATCAGGTTCTTGTTGCTTCGTTTCTGAAGCAACGATCTTCAAGCCACCAACTCTTGTTCTGCCACTGACACGGCGGCGAGACGATGGTAAAGCGACGCGGGAGGATGTGAGGCCATTGAGATGGGTTAAACCCAGGGAAGACGCCATACTCGTAAAGAAAGAAAGATTGAAGGAAAGACGATGGAGATAGGGACTGAAATCTTGGGAATATGATGATGAGAAAAATGGTGAAATTGAATATCTGGGAATCTGAGTAAAATGTTAGAATAATTGGGATCGGGGAAAATGAGGCATCTTGTTGTGAGTGGATTGGCATTGGTTTATGAGCTGAGGCTGAGCTGCCGAAAATGTGTTACGTAATCCTTTGAAAAAACAATTAAGATTCTTATGCAATAATAGAAGGTGATATGCTCATAATGAATTATTATTTTTATAAAAATATTATAATTTTTTTTAATTTATTTTAAATTGATATCCAACTATATGTTTTTTTTCACATTTCACTAAAATAATGGTATTTTTTTAATATGCCTACTTAATTGTGGAAAACGGATGATTTTTTGACCATTTCGTAAATAATATTATCATTTCATATGCCAAATTGCCGTATAATATTGTCTTTATCAATTTCATAGATGATATCATCATTTAGAAGATGATTATATGTAAAATGGATGACTATTTTGTTGAATAGACCGATCTTTTTCATTATTACGTGAAGAATGATCGATGAGATTAAACATATTGATTTTTTTTCCTTTTTTATCAAATATTAGAGAAGCAATAAATATTAATTAGAATGTTATGAGTTATAACTTCAAATAACAAACATGTATTTATAAAAATAAAAAATAAAATAAAATAAAATCTTTTCTTATATTCTATTTTGTTGTCATTGGTTATCAAATTATTATTATTATTATTACTAAATGATCATTTTGAAGTACAAACGTAGTCTAACACCATGTTAGAGTTTCGTATGATCAAATATGATGACAATGAAAGCATTATTAATCTATTGGTTATCTAGATCATATATATTATCATTTTTTTATTATTGTCTTTTTTTCCAATACAATAATATACTACCATCTACGTTCATTTTAGAAAAAACATCATAAATGGTCCTTGTGATTTTCTCAAATCGGAAGTTTAGTCTCCGTGGTTTAGAAACGTCATAGTTGGTCCTTGTGTTTTCAAAACTTTTGATGATTGGTCTTTATTTCTAATTTTGTTAAATTTTGTTCGTTAACTGAATGGTATTTTCATCATTTCACTTCCATAGGGATCATTTATGATGGTTTTACTTATTTAAAAAAAATAATAATATACAAAGGGGTCCCCATCTCTCTCTCTCTCTCTCACACACACACACACACACAGCGGGAGCTTCCACCTGATACACGTAAGATTGGCCTGCCTTCGACACGATCCTTGTTCACGGTGTGAAATTTGAAATCCATTTTCTTTCAAGACTCGATTAGATAAAGCACAGTTTTAGGAAGTTCTTCAGCCTGGAGCGAAGGATGTTTCTAAATACAACAAACCTGAAGAACGTTTTGTGATGAAGGCACTTAATTCTTTCGCACATGAAGGTATTTATTCGGATGTTGTGGAGACTTCCTTGAACTCGGTTGAATCTTCTCTTCCAATAAACAGCACAACAACATTTCCTCAAGGGCTTGCGTTGAATCTTCGTCTATTGTAAGCTAAGATCTAGCTTTTCCTCCATTGAATGAGTTCTTCCAATAAAAAAGAGAACAATGTTTATCCCTTTCTCTGATTTTTTATTGTTCCTATCAACTCATGGAACTTCTGAAAGCTAGAATGGACAAGGAAGGATCAAGGGTTGTATCTACTCAATTGATAGAAAAATTCATCTTAAATAATCCTCATCACCCATATGTAGCACCTGGTTCCTGGTACGTATTCCTTGTGACTAATATTTCTTAAATAATGCATTTTGTCTTGGACTCGGCGAGTTGAAGGACCAACTCGCCGAGTAAAAGCGGGATGAGACACGGGATCTAAGCTTTTGGACTCGGCGAGTAGGCCCTGTTTGAGCAAAAACCCTAACCCAAGTGTTTGCACCCTATTTAAACACTCTAACTCGGCCTCCCTTGTCCCTAACACTTCCAAAAGAGCTGTAGAGCGAAACCCTAGCCCCCTTTTTGTCCTTGTGAGTGATTTTGGCCTTGTGAAGGAAGTTTGAAGCTTAAGAGAAGAAGAAGGAGGTGGAAGAGTGCAAGGAGGGGAAGTAGATCCGACATCTACCCTACAAGAGGCTTCCATTCAGGTAGAAAAGTCCCTACCTTGATCACTATTTCATTAGATTCCCCTTTTGTCCCTAATTGGTGGTTTTCAAGCCCTAAAACACCAAACTCCATGTGTTTGTGCTCTATGATCCGAAAGGACTTCAGATCTAGACCTTATGGACGTATTAGAAGTATAAAGTCTTTGTGGTTGAAGTGATTGAGGTCCCTATTGAGTGTATGACCTCATAAAGAGCTTGGATTTGCCTTTTGAAGCTTATAGGGCCATGCATGCACGTAAAGTTTGCAACTTTACGTGGTAAGCATGCCCTAGGAACATAGATCTATGGTTTGGAAGCGTTGCATGTCTCAGATTTGGTCTGTATGGGAATTGGGTCGAAGGGACTCGGTGAGTCCCAAAGTGGAACTCGACGAGTTCTATGAAGATGATCTTAAACTCGGCGAGTTGGATGAACAACTTGGCGAGTCCTATGAAGATTTCCTGGAACTCGACGAGTTGTTCTTCAAACTCGGCGAGTCATATGAACTGTTACTGAGTAAGAGGGGTTTAGGTGTTGAAGGTCCAACCCTTCGTATCTGCACGCGGAATTAGCAATTTAACGTGTAGCAATAGTCCTAGAAACCCAAATCCTCATAAAGGATGCTCTGGTGAGGATTTGGAAGCGAGTGAGAGATCTGCTCGTGTGGACTCGACGAGTAGTTCTTGGACTCGACGAGTCGGATTGCGAGTCGGTTCTATCGTCCCAAGTCGTGAGTTAAGGGTGACTCAGTGAGTGGGAAGAGGGACTTGTCGAGTAAGACCAGGTTAGTATGAGAAGGACTCGGCAATTCGGTGCCATGACTCGGCGAGTCCAGTCAACTGGAAGTTGACTTTGACCAAGGAGTTGACCTTGGACCAGGGGTGGGCCAGTCATCTGACCTAAGGGTATTTACGAGTGGCTAATCTATGTTTATGATTTATAGCCGGAGGATTACTGGTTCAGCAGTTAGGCGCTTAGCAAGCAGACTTTCAGCAGCTACTTTTCGAGGTGAGTTACATTCCAGTAGCAGTGGGCCTACGACCACAATGTCGGCCCACCAATAGGAATTGTATGATTAGATGATTGTCTCTGTGATATTCATCTAGGGTTGCTACTACATGTGATATGTTTATGTGCTAGAATGATATGATGCTATGTGTTAGTGACAGTAGGGGAGATAGTCCCAAGATTACCGGTCGATAGGGCCGAAGGGGTAGTCATGCCCAGCCATGCTAGATAAATTATGTGATATGTGTTATGTGGTGGTAGTAGGGGGTGAAATAGTCCCCAGTATCCAGTCGAGAGGACCGAAGGGGAGACCAGCACCCAGATATGCTAATCAGTATCCGGTCGAGAGGACCGAAGGGGAGACCAGTACCCAGATATGCTAGTCAGTGCCGGTCGAAAGGGCCGAAGGGTTAGGTCGGGCACCCAGATATGCCTGACAATATATGTATGATATGTGGTTATATGGTATGTGATACAGTGGAGGAACTCACTAAGCTTCGTGCTTACGGTTTACATTTTTGTTTTCAAGTACCTCTTCATCGAAGGGGAAGGAGCTGGCGCGGTAGCGGCACATCATACACGCACATTGTTTTCCGCACCATGAGTCATTATAGGATTTTGTACTCTGATAGTTGATTGTTTTCATATTTCGGTTTTCAGACACGATGTATGTTATGAAATGGTTTGATTCGACAATGTTTTATTTACAAATGTTTTCTAAAGTATTGATTTAAAAACAAAATTTTGGGACGTGAAATTTGGGTCGTTACACCAAATGTCGAAGCTAATATGCATACAAATTTCCAATTCGAGAACATAAGGAAGAAATGGCGGCGATTTGAATTTGTACAGATGAGAAGAAAGGTGCACAGGAAACAAAGGGCATCTCAGTCTCGAATCAAAGCGACCCATGATGTTGAAGTTGAAATTACACTAAGAAGATATCGAATCAAAGCGACCCATGAAGCTAAATCGGGATAACAATGTATTTATGATGTCGAAGCATGAACCCTAGTGATTTAAATATAATCAAACAGGTGACAGGGATCACGATTTACAGACCTGGAGGAACTTTCAGGCAACTGCTATTCAAGGAAGAGGGTGTGGGTTTAGATAAAAATTCATGCTTAACATCATATGAGTACCAATCTCATATGTGGGTTTTGATCGGGATAGGGGCAGAAAATCATTTACCTTGGTCGGTGGCATCCGATGGCGGCGGAAGGTGGTGATGGCAGCTTCCGGTTGTAATAGAGATGGGGTTCAAAGTTTTTGGAGTTGAGGGAGGAAGACAAAGTTGTGTCTTTACTATTTACGAGAGAGAGAGAGAGAGAGAGAGAGAGAGAGAATAAGAGTGTGTGTGTGTGTGTATGTGAGTGAGTAAGTGAGTGAGAGAGAAAGAAAAGAGAGAGAGACCTTTTATATATTAAATTAAATAATTATATTTAATTTTAAAAAAATAATAATAAGAGAAAACATCATAAATGGTCCCCCTATGGTAGTAAAATGACGAAAATGCCCTTTAGTTAACGGACAAAACTTAACAGAGTTAAAAATAAGGACTAATTGTCAAAAGTTTTAAAGTCAAAAATAATTTCATGGTTCAAAAGCAATATGACCCGAACCTGTAAACAGGATCCAGGATCACACCAGTGTTTTCTGCAACTTCCTTGACAAATTTAAGCTCTTCTGCTGTACTCATGGCATACCCGAACCCTTTAGCCTATCAAAACAAAATATTAAACAAACATCAAAATGTCAAAATAAATTATACATGAAAATAAGTTTATGTTGTTACATTTTCGATTTTCACTATATCATGTGAATCATGGGAGTTTCAAATTTTTGTTGTGAAAGGAAAATGATTCATTTATCGGTCCAAATTGATCCAACTCCGGTTCAACTCAATATACCCACAGGGACCAACTATGACGTTTCTAAACCACGGGGCTAAATTTCAAATTTGAGGAAACCACATGGACCATTTATGATGTTTTTTCTTCATTTTAAGAGTAGACTTTTGTTTACTTTTACTAAAATATAAAACGTTTACAACTAAGTTTAATCATTATATTAAAAC